AAGACCAGAGGCTTTGCTTCTCCTGCACTACAAGGCTGAACACCACTTCTTTCTGTGCAATAATCTCACTGTTTTAATTTAAGTGCACCATTTGAGACGCTTATGGGGAGGTGAGGCAGAATGGGAGTCCAGAGCTTAGAGCAGGGCATTTTAGAAACCAACCTTCTCTGCTCTGCCTTACACCCTGCTCGTTCAAAGGACATGTCAGAGTCCAGGCGACAGACCAGATTGTAAGTATCGTGTTTTTCTCGGGGTTTCTTTTCCTATATTTTCCAAAACAATCCTGCAATTTCACTTCAGGCAGAACATCTGACAACTGGCCCATAAGTTTCATGAAGGCCAAGACAAATGGAGAGAAACTCCACAAAAAGCTAATGACCAGCCATGCTATCCTGAGACCTCATGACCACCTTGCTCTTTTCCCCTAGTTGGCCTGAGTGCAGGTTTAGCTATTCGATATACAAATTTAACTATTTAGATAGCAAAACTAGATCAAACCTTAACTGTGTTTGGCATTGCTTTGACCCTAGAGGGCATTTGTTTTGACTCCACATTATTAAACTTGTCTTGTTTCCAAACTGAAAAGTCCTGCTGAACGGCAGTTCATCTACTTTCACTCAAGTAAAATCTCACTCCTTGTCTCCTCTCCCAGGACTAACTCATAACTAGGTTTTAAACAATTATTATGTTAATAAAAATCATTCTCTTAACTCCTTAATTACATTACTGACCCATGGGAATGGTTTAGATTCTAACCTCTGTCATCAATTTACAGCTCAGATTCTTAAGAAAGCTCCCTGCAGGAGATGATGCCTATTACTCTCAGCTCAAGTATGTGTTGAGTCCCAGCTGTGCATTTAAAAGCTACTCACACCACTGAAGTATGAAAAGAACTGTATTTTCTTACTGATCCAGGCTTTGAAACTCCAGGTAAATTTGTGGTTGGATATGCTCTTGACACTAATGACTACTTCAGAGATTTAAATTGAGTTGGTAATGCAATATAGGTGCATAATAAATGTTTATGCTTCACCGTTTCATAATTCATAATTGTACTCCACAAGTCTCATGGCTCAGCCATGCCGCAGGACATTCTGAACCCCCAGGATTGGTGAGCAGCGTACAACCTGCGGCCCCATCTGAAAATAAAATAACTTGTAATTTGACTTTAATTGGATATTTGTCTGTCTTAGCTCAATCCTATGTTGCTCTTCTGTCACCAAGTCTTTAAAGCAGCTGTGCAGGCACTCTGTGGGAAGGTTTTCCACACACTTATGGATAACATGGTTGTAAGATCTCTCTTCCCTTATTCCATTACAGCTTCCTTAGGCTGCACAGAGTAGTTGACTTAGAAACATCATAAATTAATAGGGTTGGTCTTTTTGCCCTCCTTTGTTTTCAAAAGTACTTACTTAATTCTGGTTAACTCGGAAAGGTTTTCATTTCTAAGTCTTTCTACTAAGACAAACCAGTTCTGCTGAAGACACAATCAATCTGTGCTATTGCTCAGTGGCATGAAGGTGTATGCAGTAATTTAACAAACCTAAGTTCTTTAGAATATATAAACCTATATATTACAGATAAACTTGGCAAGAATATTAAAATCTCGAGTTTACTGCAAGGAAACTTGCAACAATTATGGTTCTAGTGGTTTTTTATTACAATGCTGGGAATATAACTGAAAATCAGTCTTGCATTTCATTTGAAGATAGAAGTTCATAAATATTGTAGGTTGGTTTTTTTTCCTTTTAGCACATCTGTGTTCTGAATGTTATGAATAAGAAGCTTGACTAGGCCAATATTCAAGCAGCAATCAATTTATTATTTAATATGGTAAGGTATGAGCAATACAGCACTGGGTACAGTGGGGGAAGTTTTCCCTCCAACTGCACACTGATAAGTGATGGTTACAGGTATTTATAGGGGTACCCATCAGGTTTTTTCAGCAGTTTCTATTTCCAATTTTTACTCATCAGCAATTTTTATTCCAAATTATTACATCACAATTCTATACACTATTGTGATTTTAATTTCTCAGGATGTATCTCAAAGGAGTATCCCCAGATGATGACGGTCCAGTTTCCAAAAGAAGAAAGAGGAATCCCATCTGGTGGGGTCCAGCTCCCCAAATGTGTGTCCACTTTTTAATTGCAGAGACTCTAAATCTCATAACAGTGATGTCCAGCTTCCCTTTGGTTGAAACCATAAACCTTTGAGGTGATGTTCATCTTCCTATCTCAAACTGTTTTTCTCTGCTTCAATGAGGCGTGAGATAAGCACATTTCCTTTATATATATTCCAAAGCTATAGTTTCAAGGATACAAGTAATATTCTAAAGTTATACTTCAAAAGGTTATTATTGCAGAGCTTTTTATGGATTAAATGCAGGCAAAAAGCAACATCTTTAACACTTTAATTCCAATGCTCCTAAATCATCTAGGGTTAATTTGCAAACAAAAGATAGGTTCAAAGGCCTTTTTTCATGCTTTAGTCTCCTCAGTTATTATTAGAATTCACAGCTCTCCCATTATCGGTGTCCACACATTTCACATTCACAACTACACACATCGCCTGTTTGTACCTGACACGAAACACAACTTTGTATTTCACATGAAAGAGAATGCCAAAGAGAAATACAGGATGTGATCATGTCAGTCTTCCGGAGCACTAATTCCTGGCTGCTGATTAGGTGATAAACCATGACACCAGGAAATTATTTCAGCTCCTTGTGTGTCCCTAAGAACCAGAAGCTACATCTTACTGCCCAGGACCTGCAGCTCGCTGATTCCCACTTGCACTAAGCGCTGAACACAACTGTTGAGCTCCTGGCTTTTTCCCGTTGTGGAGGAGCAGCCCGGCGCTGGGGGCAAGGGTCTGGCGACATCGAGCTCTGCCACCTCGCACCGTCACATTCCGGGCCCCGGAGCGGATTCCGGGGCTGGAACGCGGGGGGCCGAGGCCCGCCCGCCGTCACCGGCCCGGCCCGGCCCCGACAATGGGGGCCGCTGTTGCCCGGGAACCGCGCCGCGGCCGCCGCGGCTGTGACGGCGCCGCCGCCTCAGTTGCCGCGGAGCGCGCTCTGGGCTGCTCGTTCACAGCCTGGGGCTCGTGAAACGGCTTCATTAGCGTTTCGCCAAGGGGCTTGTTCACAGAGATTGTCTCTGCGAGCAAGGAGTCCTGACCCCGCAGAGCGTTGGTCTCTGCGAGCAAGGAGTCCTGAACTCGCAGAGCGTTGGTCTCTGCGAAAAAGGAGTCCTGAACTCGCAGAGCGTTGGTCTCTGCAGCGTGTACTGAATGTTGTTTGAAGGTAAAGATTGACTGAAGTTGTACTTTTTGGTTTTGTCTCTGTGCTCTGAAAGATAATTCCAAAGGGATGTGATAATGCCAGTCCTCTGGCGCAGTGGCATGTACAGCAAATGGATGCACTATATGGTCGACTGATTGTGCTTTTTTTCCACTGAAGAAGTGCAGAATTTTCTATATATACTAGTTTATACCTTTTTTCCCTATAGTGATTACTTAAACTGCTTAAAGGTGAATGAGTTCTGTTCAAGTTTCAGTGGGTTGTTATGATCTAGTTATTAAAATTATTAGGGAGATGCCCCTGAATTAAGGTGCAAACGAGACCATATGCCAAAGTTAGTAGTCTGGATTTTATGTAACAGTAAATGTGAGGAAGAAAGAGAGTGAAATAGAGAAGGGCGTCGGGGAGAGGGAGAGAAATAGAGAGTGACAGATTAGGTAGAAAGTAGAAAGTATCACCATTGCATGGATCTCACTGGCATACCATTAAATCCTCTTCTGGTCTTCTCTGTGGTGAGGTCTGGCAAAACTCCAATGGATTAATGCAGATTTGGGCAAGGTGGGACTGCCCAGGTACCTCCCTGGGATGGGGCAAGTTTGGCTCTGTCTCTTACTACTTTCAAATACTATAAATTTTTTAGCACCAGTATATCCTTTTGAGTTTGCCATGAATTGGGTTGTGGATTTTCAGATCTGTTGTGTTTCTTTGCATGTCGTGCAGTCATCTGGTGCAAGGCCTCAGGAATGGCTCTGGGGGCACTTTGGAGGTCTTTGCTGGGTTGTGACACCCCCTCAGCTGCCCCTCATGGGGATGTCCCCTGGATGTGGCCTTCTGGGGCTGGGGGCTTTTAGAGCTGAGCCAGTTTGTCTGAGGGAGGATGGGTGTCCACTGACCCTTACCAGAGGTGGTGCCTCACCCCCAAAATTTCCTCCTTCCCCCTCTGTTGATGGGAGGTTTGTGTGCAAACCTGGCCTCAGCAGACGAGTCTGTGGCTATGACTTCCCCAGCCTGAAGGCAGACGCAGCTGATTTTCAGGACAGCTGCTGGGTTTGGCTTTGTTGTGGATACATTTTTCTCCTGTAGCCTTGTTTACTTCTCCCCAGACCTGAGACAATAGTGTCACCTTGATCTTGCCTCAAGTTCCCTTAGGTGGCTTAACTCACAGTCCCAAGTTCAGTCAGGAGGCATTTTCAGGGAAGGGTTGGCTTCATTGTTCGCAGCTTCTTTATTCAGTTTTGTCAGAATGGGCAAAAAGTCCTTCCTAACAATATTTAAGCCATTAGCCATAACATTCCAATCTCTCACAAGTCCTGTGAGGAGCAGCTGAGAGAGCAGGGGTTGTTTAGCCTAAAGAAGAGGAGGTCCACTCTAGCTGTTTTTAAGTAATATTTAAGCTATAGCTTTCTCTGTTCAAACTATTATTAATGTTCAGCTTTTTAGCTCCAGGTTTCAGTACGATCCATCTTTGAATTGCACAAGGTAGCCATATAGTTGAAATAAAGTCCAACTAGAGGCCTAAAAATACTAGTTACTTATGCCAAACAAGCACTCAACTACTTTCAAATAATACAAAATTTTTAGCACCAGTATATGCCTTGAATCTGCCATGAATTGGGTTCTGGATTTTCAGAGTTCCATTCTTGCTCCTTCCAGTTTTGATGAGGCATTGTCTCATCTGTGACATCATCCATTCAAGATGGCGTCTGAATTGCCGAAGAAGACATCAACACCTCGTCTTTTGTCCAGGGAAATGCTGAAATCTTTTAGTGTAAGTATCCACTGGAAACTGCCCTGCTGGCCCTGCTCTCCCTGCCCCTGTTTTCCAGCAGTGCTGTGAAGCTGCACAGCCCCTCCCCAGCCCTTTGTGCTGTGCTCCTGTTGCTGGGGCTGTCCTGGTGCAGTAGGGAACACTGTGGGTGTGTCAGGGACAGCCCAGCGTCTTGCCTGGCTGTGCCAGCAGAGCCAAGTGAAACCAATGGACAGCTGAAGCCCTCAGCATGGGCTTCTTTCCTTCCCCTTTGCCACAGCCATTCCATCTGTCAGGCTGGGCACTCACCTGTGCTGCTCTGACCATCCTGCCCTTGGGCACCCGGGCATGTGAGGGGGAAAGCTCAAACTCTGCCCAAAGCCTTGAGAGCCACGGCTGGTCCAGCTGGAAGAGCTGCCAAGGCAGCTGTTCTCTCCCAGCTCCTGGGTGGGCACAGATGCAGCCCTGCAGGCAGCACTGGATGGAGCCAGGGCCACAAAGGTCCCTTGCTGTCTGCAGCTCACTTGGCTGAAGATGCCCCACTGCTGAGGCTCTGCCAAGGAGATGCCTCTGTTTTCTTCTGTGGAGGGCTCTGTCAGCCCAGACAGAGAAAACAACAGGGACAGCTGAAACCTGGACACATTCCTGTGCACCTCACTCTTGGTACAGCTTTGTTTTCTTGCATCTCTTGGATAGCAGTGATATCTCCTTGCTGTGAGTTCTGAGTGTTGTGCAGGGATAGAGTTCAGGCAGTTCTGAGAGCTCCTCCCCATTCTCTGGAAAGGTCACTGCCTCAATCCAATGAAACGTGAGAGGAAACAAATGCCCAAAGAGCAGAAATCCCCAACCATGTCCCATCCAATCATGGAGAAGCCAATGGGACAGAGCCATGTGGCTGGAGTATGTGTATTGCACTCTGTCTTATTGACTGATGCTAAGTATTTCAGCAGGAGACTCCCAGGGCTTCTAGGACTGTCCTAGTGGCTGTGATCACAAGTTATTCACCAGTACCACTTGTTCAAGAAAAACCTTTCTGAACAAGCACATCTCTGAGGCTCTAGCTGGTGTATTTTTGCCTTTCAGCTGCTTCCCTCTAAGTTCCAGAGGGAGAAGTTTCTCAGCACAAAGAAGGAGGCCAGTCCTGGGAAGAGTATTCTGCCCAAAATTGGCCCATTTCTAGACAGGAGTGAGATTCGTCGAAAGGTAGCCTTTTCCTGCTCTTGTCCTTTCTGTTTAACGTGAAGTTTGAAGAGGGTGTGTGTTTGTGACAGGCTTGCCTCCAGCAAAATACCTCAGTGTCCAGGTCCTGCTGTCATTGCAAGGTGCTGGGAGTGGTGGAGTCCTGATCTGCACTAAGCCAACACAAATACCCTCTGCTGAAGCTGCTGGGCTGTGCTGGAGTGCAGCTGCCATTGCTAACAGGGGGAAGGCTGAGGACACAAAGGCACAACATTGCCCTTTGCCATTCTCCTGCTGAAGGAGCCACCTCTTGCTTTGGTGTGGTCACCATCAAATGCTCGGGGTCACAGGATTCCCTGCAGAGTGGCAGCGTTGGCCTTTGAAGGCTGAGGACCTGCAGGAATTACTTCAGATTTAACAAAACAAATTGCATTACTGCTTTGGGCTGAAACAATGTGTTGGACCCTGACGGGGTGTTAGATTTTGCAGGCTGCCAGATGTACAGGGGACTGGCCCTGGGCAGAGGGGAATGGATGTGCTTTATCTGGATCAGTGCCTACTCAGAGGTGTGTTTAAAGTGGCTTTTCTGGCAGGACTGGCTCAGTAGAAAGCACAGTCCAAACGAGTAGGTGACTGAGGTGGGCTGTTGAGCAGGAAATTGGCAGCAAGAGACACGGAACACAATCCAGGTAAAGGATTGTCCTGGAGAGGAGCCTTGGGAACACCTCAGGGAAGGGCACAGCTAAGGGACAGTGTGCTGCAGCCACTCCCTTCAGCAGAATGTGTCTGCTGTGAAGTCGCACAGGAGACCTGCTTGCGTCTCTGCAGTGACAGCAGTGTGGCTGGAGAAGGCAGACAAAGCAGGGCAGAGTTTTCTCAAAGCAATGTCTCTGCTCCAGAAGCATTTGCTGTTGTTGCCTCATCATTCCAGATGTGCCTCTACAATGGTATTAAATAAAATAGCAATAAATACAAGAAAGCGCCCATTTAAAACACATGGGAAAAGGAGATAACAACTCTACTTTTACCCAAGTCACTGAAAAAACAACTGAACCTTATCCTCATACAGCATTCACCTCATTTGTCTTTTTATTTTTGCCTTTCCCTCTGTTTGAAACACACTAATTTTTAAGTACAATTAAAGGGGACAAAATCATTGACGCAAAAGAAAATGGTTTATTAGTAACGATTCAGCTGAGCCAGGCGTGTTTCCCTCCCTGAGAGCCAAGCACACACACACCCTCCCAGAAAATGGCAATCTTTGTATCCCCTTTGTACCCGGCTGGGGCGGTCCCTGTGCCCTTTGCCATTGGATGGGCACTCAGGAGCTTCCATTCTCTACTGAGCACCAACTTTTCTGTGCCCTCCCCTCTCATCCTCCTTCCTTTCGGTCGAGTCTTCAACCCTGTCCCTCTCACTGTGACACTCAACAAACCAACCTGAACAAATCCAAACCACAAACAACGCACAGAACCAGCAAATTCCATTCTTTTGCTTAATAACCTTTTGTCTTCAGCAAAATATCACCTCATCTCTCACACTTCCTCTGGTACTGTTCTCTTCTTACTGATGTCTAAGTTCTAGAGCAAAAAAGGTATTTGCAGTTGTGTGGGCCTGGGTTTTCCTCTCTCAGAGTAAAGGACATCCCAAAATTGTTTCCCGTAGAGTCTCCTGTATATTCATGGGTTTTACTTACTCCATGAGTGCTCAGTCAGTGCCTCAGAGCTCTGTGACCACATGGGCACAGGGCTGTGTTTTAGGAAAGTGCTGCCTGGCATTCTGGAGAAAGAAACCTGGAGAAATCCATGCCAAAAGAGCAGCTTGGCTTGAGCCTGCTCTGTGTGGCCCAGCAGCTGTGGATCAGCTCAGAGCAGAGGTGGGTGAGCCACTGTTTGCCCAGTTTGGGCTGGGCAGACGTGCTCCCCCAGAGTCTGTACTTCACTGGGATCAGTGGAAGGGATCCTTGATGAACCTTCCTCCCAGCAGCTGAAGCTCTCCCTGCTTTCTCTCGCCTCTCCAGTCATCAACAGGTGCCGCGAAACCGAGCTCGTTTGAGGTTTCCCCACCAGAGATGGTATTTGAGAACATCGTCGCTCATGAGGTTTATGAGATGGCGCTGTCTCTCATGAATAAGGACAAGGTAAGTGCTGGCACCCAGAGCTTTAATGCTGTGCTGGAAGAGGAGAGTGCTGTCATTTCCCCAGTGTACAGCAAAGCAAGTTATCTGCTGTAGCACATGCAGAAGAAAATGTCTCAGCACCTTTGTTCTGCAAGATGGTGGAAATCTTCTTGTGCTGGGAACTGTCCCCTGATTTTGGCCATGTGTTGATGGTATCTATGCCAAAGGAGTTTCCTTCTCTGGAAAGCTCTGCATTGATAGGAATGTTGAGGACTGTGCAGTTCTTACCTGCTCTCGTGCTTTGCCTCGAGTCTATACCACACCCTGTATCTCCTTGGTTAATCTTGGCTCCTGGTAGGAATCTCTGCCTCTCTCAGCCAGTTTGGCTCCCTTTGTGCAGCTCACAGTCAGCTCAGAGGCTGAGTCTTCTGCACTTTATGCTGGAATTCCTTCTCATTAATGACATTGGCACTGCAGGAACCATGTTCTGAAAGAGCCCTGCCATCAGACTGATGGAGCAGAAGCAGTGAGAGGCCTTTAGGTGCCACTTGAGGCTCCTGCTCAGCTTCATCCAGCTCTGCTCAGCTTTTCCAAAAGCAACACGGTGCTCTGCTTTCCCTTAGCAGAACCACAGCACATCCAAAGCCATGTGCTCCTGGAGGTTTGCACCTTCATGTGAAGTAATTGGGATTGTTTTGCAGTTTCCCAAGAGAGACGAGAGGTAAAAAGTTGAAAAAGGTCAGCAGTTGTGTTCCACTGTAAAGAGGACAACTCTTTACATTTTGAATTTCAGTCAGGGAAGCATTTTCTCAAATGAGGCTTGTGCCAAGAGTGGACTGGTGGGAGGAGACAGGAGGGAGTCCAAATCATCTGGCTTAGACTTTTGGAGAGCATTTTGGTGCTCAGGGGTTGATGCTATCAGTGTGCTAGAAAATGCATGTGTGCTGTGTCTGTGAGCCCCAGAGGGCAGAATCTGGCCTGCTGGCTGCAGGCAGGAATGCCCAGCAGCCCAGCTTGCCTGCACGGGCAGCAGGAAGCCCTGGAGAGCCAAGATTGGCTTTGCATACTGGAACCACACTGTCAGTCAGTGCTGGTCCTGTTTCTCCAGGCAGAAAATGCCTTTGAAGCCCATAGTCCATAGGCACAGCCTGTCTGTGTTTCTGTCACTTTTGGCAAGCTGATTGCTTTCATGGTTTTATGATTCCTCCTTGCTGCTTTACTGCCTATTTAAATTCTCTTTGTCATCTCCTTTTTTTTTAGGGATTTTCTTGCTGTGTTCCTTCTTTTGCTTTTCAGGTTTGCTTTTATTCCCAGTAAGACCACAGTGTTTGGTCTTCTCTCTTGCTGCTCTGCCTGCCTGACTGTATCCCCAGAACATCCCTACCCAAACCTGATCTGCTAGAAGGGAATTTCTTCCTTCCCCCACAGTAATTTGCTGGTTTGCTTTTAGGTAGCACATTCCCCCTCTGGAACATGACAGCTTCATGGCTGTGTGCAGGCAGAAGCCAGCAGGTTTTTTGGCCTTGTTGAATATGCAGGTGACTTGGTTCAGGTGCTCTGTCTCCATCCTGCTGGTGCTGACCTGCTCGGCCCTTCCTTCCCAGCAGGCGCTGCCCAACTGCCCCAGGCCACAGTGCTGGAGCCAGAGAGAAGGGATTCAAGTTCAGCCTTGTGAATGATGTGCCTGAGCCAGCACAGCTGAAAGTGCTTTGGGAAAGGGGCCAAGGAGGGATGTCATCAGGGCATGGACAGGTCTCCTCTCGTCCTGGTTCCACAAGTGGCAAAGTCATCATTTCCTGTCTTTGCTGCAGTTTCCTCAGGTGGTGAAGGTCTCCATGGAGAGCTCACCTTACTTCCAGCTCATGAGCTCCAACAACGCATACCGTGTCGTGCTGCCGGGCGCCTCTGCCCCCGTGCGCATCCGCTTCACCCCCGACGAGAGCAAGGTGAGGCTGGAGGGGCCAAAGCACACAATGATCTCCACAGCCATTGTTTGCCCTGCACTCTGGCTCCAGCCCATTGCATGCTGTGAGCTGGGCTCCAGGCGTGGGCAGGCAGCCTGCAGCCAGTCACACCTTGGCACTGCTGGAGGGCACTGCAGCCAGGCCTGACAGGCTCTGCTTCCCCTCCCTGCACATTCCTGAGCACTGCCAAGGGAAGATGCACAGGGAACAGGATGAAAATTACAGAGGGCTGTTGATAGATGTTGGGCCATCTCTAGGTCCAGTGGAAGGGGTTTCATTATTATGGAAAACACTAGAGGAAAAAAGAGGTCAGAGAGCTTTCCTCCTTCCTGGACTGCCAACAGCTTCCCTGCCTGCCCCTGGGCTGGAGCAAAGCCGGTGCTTTTTCACCCCCTGTGTTGTGCAGCCTTGCAGCTGTGCTGTCCCAGAGCACAAGTGAGCATGGCACAGCTGCAGGGCCAGGGCAGAGGATGTGCTGTGCCCGTGAGCCTGGCCTGGCACAGGCACACTGGGCTCTGGGTGCCCTCGGTCAGCAGGAGGTTGCTGAGCTGCAGGGGACTTGGACACCTGCCTGAAGGAGCTGGTGCAGGGCAGGTACAAGCTACAGGCAGAGCTGTGGGCCCAGAGCCCGTGGCAGTGACACTGCTGGGGCTCTGTCTTCATGCCTGGCACTGTGCTTGCTCTGTCAGCTGGCACCCATTCCGTGCCAAAGGTGCTTTTGTGGGGAGGTTTGCACAGCAGTGCTGAGGCCCTGGCAAGTCTGATCTCAGTGCTGGGATCTGGAGGCTTGTTCATACAGAAGGGTTGAGGGCATGGCATGGAAGGGAGGAAGCCTTGCAGGGAAACAAAGAGAGGCCTTTTCCAACAGCATCCTGCTACCTCTTAGCACTGTTCTTCTCCTGACTTGGTTGGACAGGCAAAGTTAGAGGGGAGTTGTGAGCCAACTGATGTTTCTGCACCAGGCCAGAGGTGCAGGATCTCTTTGGATGCAGCTGTTTTCTCCTCTTCCTTTTGCTGCTTAGAGTTAATTGAACGCTTTGTCCTATTCTCAGACAGTGGGAATATAGAAACCTGAAGAGCAACGAGCCTGTGTTCCCTAGCTCCATGTTCCTTAGAAGGGACTTAGGAACTATTTAACATCATTAAAATTTAGAGTAAAAATTATGGTGGCCTAGGGTAGTTCTCCGTATGACCCAAGTGACACAAGAGCTTAATGCCACAGAGACAGGCTTTGCAAAGTGCACTGGTGTCTTTAAAATGTGACATATTAGTAGAACTTAGTGTTCATTTTAGGGTGGGATAGGTAAATTGATGCCCTTGAAGGGTTGTAGAGATGATTTTTCTTCTGCCATGGGGATGGCACTAAATGCCCTGTGCTGAGCCAGTTTCTTTTCCTGCAGGATTATTCCCACGAGTTCGTCTGCGTCACTGCCAGGGAAAGGATCGTTGTGCCAATTGTGGCCATTGGTGCCCGAGCTGTGCTGGACCTCCCTGCTCAGCTGGACTTCTCCAAGTGTCCAGTCAAGCACAGCACCCAGCAGACTCTGCTGGTGCGCAATGTCGGTAACGTGAAAGCTCGGTACCAGCTGAGCACCCCGAGGTGAGGCAGCTCATCTGTCCCTGTGCAAACACCTTTGGGTGAGAGCAGAGTTGGGAAAGAGCAGCAAAAGGAGCCAGAGCATTGCAGCTGCTGCCCTGCAGCCTGGCTGGAAATGAGCAGCATGGATGGCAGTGGCCTTTGGGCTTTCTCTGTCCCAAATTTCCTGGAGGCTGCTGGAACATGTTAGTAGCTGGCTTGCACCCTGCTGAGCACAAGCAGCTTCTGAAATGCTTACTCAGCACTGCCAGCCAAATAGACCCATTCTCTGGGAGGACACAAGCACGTGGTTTTGCAGTGGTCCTCTCATGAGATGCCCAACATGAGCTGTGCTGCAGGCAGCCAGTGCAGTTCCTGTTACTTAAAGCTGATCTGATTACCCTTGTCAGCCTAGGGCATCAGTCACCTCTTCTGTTCCATGATGAACCTTTGAAAGACAGTTTAAAATTTCAAACAGATGATTTAAATCTCTGAATAAGGTTGTGCCCCTTCCATTGGGATTTCTTTTTAGATACTCTGAAGTTCCTGTGTTTCTGCTGTTTTTTCTTTTTGTTTTGTGTTAAATATTTGCCAAAAGATCATGCATTCTTCATTGGGAACTTTGATGAAGGTTGAGCTCCTGTAATGCCTCTCCATATACCACATGCCCATAGGGACATGCACAGGTCTATAGGAAATAGGAGACATTTAGTGAATACGTGAAAAGCAATTGGACTCATTTAGAAGATAAAAGTATAGAAGAACTTTTGCTGGAGGGGACCTCTGGAAATCATCTGAGCAAACACACTGCTCAAAGCAAGAGCAGTGTCTGGGGATTGCAAGGTGCCATTGGGAGACATGGACCTGTGTTTAGATGCCATACAAGAAAACAAACATACCAATGGACCTAGTTAAAAAGCAGGTGAAAACAACCTATTAAAACCCCCTCCATACCTTATCTTTTCTGCCTGTCAGGTGCAGTAGTGATTCATTGAGAGGATGGATCTAAGAGGATGAGAAGTGTCCTAAGGAGCAGCTCACAATCAACAGAGAAAAGCCCAAAATTTAGCTTTCCAGGCCTATCTCTTGGCAGTGATTTTCATTTGGTTATTGCAGTGTCAGGGATGTCTCCTTGACAGCTCTTCTAGCTGTGGGCTCAGGGAACAGCTTAGTGATGCTGGCTGAAATTCAGAGGAGTAGAGCTTGTGTCCTTGGGTCTTGGGGAGCCAGGTGTGTGTGAGAGATGAGTGCTCCAGCAGGAACAGAGAAGTCTGGTGGGTACAGCCCAGGGATGGAGGAGATGCAGGGGCTGATTTGCACTCAGTTTTTCAATCCTGACAGCTGAGTCCTGAACTTGGCTGGATCCTCTTCTCCTGATAATTTGAAAATAAGAAGACACCTTCTTTCTCAGGCAAGCCCTGAAGTCACCCCTGGAATGTTATTCCCATCCTGCCACCTGAAGGCAGGAGCATGAAACATGGGGCAGGAGTGGGAAGGGAAGGGAATGGAAGGTAGTGCTGAAGCCTGGCCAGGGATTCCCCTAACTGGCAGCTTCTCTATTGCGGTGAAATTTCTGGCCAAAGACTGAGAACAGAATGCTGTGCCTTGCCCCCAGCAGGCCCTGATCCCCCCAGCCCCAGCAGAGCTGCAGCAGTGTTGGCATCAGCCCCGGGGCAGATGCAGGAGCACGAGCACTGATCTGGCTCTGGGGCTGCTGGGGCCTTGTCTTTCCTCCCCTCCCTCCAAAGTCTCACGTCCAGAACATGAACATTGCTGGCCCAAGGCTTCTCCATCAGCCAGCAGTGATGTTCTCACCAGTGGCAATGGGAACAGATCAGCCCATGATTACAGCAAGAGGTCCTTAATGAGCAGAACCTGAAGCAAGTTCATCAGCTGTCACTACTGACATGAATAAAGTTCAGCTTGCCAGATGTTCTCTTTATTTTTGGGTGTGATGCATTCATCACCAAAGTCCCCAGAACACACTTTTAAGTGACAGATTGACCACTGGCAAAGCACCAAGGCCATGGCTGTAGAAGTGCACAAAGCCCAGCAGCTGCTGGGCAGGAGCACATTTCCCCTGAGCTGCCCCTGAGCATCAATGCACAGAGTCTTGTGTTTGTCAGGCAAGAGCTGTTTACCTGGTGACCAATCCTGATTGCTCCTGTTAAATCCAAAGTGCACCAACACATCTGCATCCAAGCAAACAGTTACCAGCCTACATGACAGCCCAGAGTCCCAGACTGCATTGCTGCTAAATACAAAGAAACCTCCTGTTCTGCTTCCTTGATGTGCTTGTGCTATTGGTGCTTCATTTAGCTGGGATGGGATCCTTCAGACTGTAAATGACATCCTCCTTTTGGGTCTTGTTTCCATGCCACTGTATTGCTCTAATCTGCTGGTGGTGTTGGTGCTTGGCACCAGTCGATGGTGGATGGGAACTGACTCTCATTGTCAGTCTATCATCCCACTGTAAAACTTTCCTGCCTTCTCTCTGTGAGTTCTCACAGGCAGCTCCTCACAACACTGACTCCTTTCCTCCTCCTTCCTGTCCCTCACAGCACATACTAACCCTTGCTGTCCCTAGCACGACCACCTGACCCTTACTCTTCACAGCACAGCTGAAAAACTCCGACTCTCCACCAGCTAATCCACTCTTTTATAACACCCATCCTTATTGCACCATCCTTACTGGACAGGGCGGTGACCTATTAAGGGCAAGGCTGTTCTTACTCTTTGGTAATCCGCACAGCTGCAAATCCTCAGGGGTGAGATTTCCTCCTGCACTATCTCTATTCTCTTACAATCCATCCTCCCACAATCTGCACTCTATTTGCACTCTTTTAGAGTTTTGACTGCTCCTTTTCTTAGAGCAGCTTTCATTGAAATGCTGATAAAATGTGCCCGTTTTAGGCTAAATCAGCATGTTTTCAAGGTAAAATAAACCAAAGAACTACACTACAAATTCAACAGTAATTATTCCTCAGTCTTCAAGGAAAAGTTCCTTCTCCCTGTCTGATTCCTAGGCTGCAATCTCACAGGATAGGTAGTGCCCTAACATTTGCATCTCTTGAGATGTGGTTTATAGGCAGCAGGAAAAGAGGAATTCCTGAGGCAGTAAGTGTCAAGTTGTGCATGCAGATAGCTCTGAACCCTCTCTGTGCTCTTCACAAACCATTCTCTGATGGGATTGCTGGCAGTGGGAGCCTTGAGGCTCATTGCAGAGAGCTGGATGCAGAGTATGGGGAGCTGAGGTCATTTTACCCCCAGGATCTTGTGAGGGCTGGATCTCCTCAGCAGTGGCTCAGTGGCTGTTTGTGATCCTGTCCTGTCTTCTGCTGGCTGTGCTTGGTTTGCTCCCTGCTTGCCCAAGGGAGCTGCAGTGCAACAGGAATCTCATGGCCAGGTGTCCCCAGGCCTGACCCCTCTCTCTGTGTTGCAGCCCTTTCTCCGTGGTGCCGGCCACAGGAATTCTGGGCGCTGGTGAAACCCTGAAGGTGACAGTGACATTTCACCCGCTGACCAAGGGTGACCATTGCAGCCTCCTGAGCTGCAGCTCAGGTGAGTGCTGGGCCCTGCAGGGCACAGGACAGTTCTGCACATGGCTCCTTGTTGTCCCATCCCCTGCATTCCCTCTAGAGGTGCCTCCCTGTTCCAGATTTACCCCAAAGAAAACTGAGAATTCCTTGGTGTTTAGGGACTTGATAAAACCCCCTCAAACAGGATTTTTGGACTCCTGTTTTGCTGGGAGTTGCTGAGTGGAGGGAGGAGGAACCCTAATTCTCCACTACCATGGGGCTATGCCTGGGTGAAGTTTTATTTTATTCCTGGGCAATGCTATATGAGAGGTGTGAGGTTTCCATCAGACTCTCTCCAATGCAATGGATTTCTTGCACACCTCTGTCCCATATGCTGCTTCTCCATTGGCTTGTCACAGACCCTTTTTCTATGTTGCCCTCTACACATAAATGTAGTTTCTGTCTAATAACATTTTCAGGCCCTTGAGTTCCTGGTTGGTGACAAGTCAAGACAAAGTTTTCCTCATCCCCATTTCCCAGGTTGTTCATGCTGTTGCAGACCTCTCACATCTATCTCCCATATCACTTCTAGACTGAGGAATCCCATTCAGTCTTCATAAAGAAGCTGCTCTGTACTTATTAATCTTTCCTTTGTCCCTTTTTTATTTAATTTTAAACGCTCCAGCTTGGTTTTTGAAATCACAGCAGTATAAAATATTTAAAGACTGATGTGGCTGTGGGTTTGGACAGGGAGATGATTTTCACGGTGCTCATTCTGTAGTGGTTTGTCACATTGCAGAGCCAGGCTGGCTGTGTTTCCTCACCTGTGTCCCCTCCTGCTGTGGGCTGTCACTTCACTTGTTCCTCTGGGCCTCCTTTTGCTGCCCACCTGCCCCCAGGCATATTTGCTGGCCAGCAAGAAGGGATCCAAGGGATCAGGAGAGACAGGAGTCTCGTGGGATGCCCGGGGAGAGCCTGGGCAAGGCAGGACTGAGCAGGGCTGCTCTGAGTGGGTCACCAGAGCACATCTGACAAATCTCAATGCCCATCCTGTCACCTTGGGGCCAAATCTCCACAAACACACTCGGAAATAAGGTGTTTAAGGAGCTGCCCAGGGCATTCCCAGGCTCTACACACAGAGCTGTAAGGATGTGACAAATGGACTGATCCAAAGAACTGCTCATTCAGATCAAAGCTGTGACACCTTTTTCAGTGCCCAGTGGTTTGCTCTGTTCCTTGTGCTTCCATGAGCCAGTGAGCTGAGCAAAGACTCTCCTTTGCTTTGTTCCAGGTGAAGAAAAAATCCACACAAAGCTCCATGGAGAAGCTGTAGATGTCAACGTTGGGCTGAGCACAAATTCCGTGCACGTTGACACCACCTACATCACCACATCTACCCACAGAACCGTGTTCATTGAAAACAGGAGTAACATCACAGCCCACTTCCAGTGGAAGGCTTTTCCTACTGAGGAACGTGAGAATGAAGTGAAGAGGAGGTTGGTTTGAAAGATGCATTTCAGTGAGATATATGGCCCAGGACTGAAACTGATGTGTGGCCTCAGGGGGTGTTGGTGCTTTTGAATGGTTTAGGCCAAGTAAACCATGCCTGGAACTGGGGTGTGTCACCCTGGGCTTCAGGAGCTCAGCACTCAGCATTCCAGTTCCATTTATACTCCAACCAAGGATGGCATTTTGGGAAGGAAAGGTTGGCTGCAATGACTGGATTTCCTCAAGTTCTAATTGGGCTTTTGCCTCTCTAATCTTCTTCCTACATGACCAACATCCTTAAACAGTTCCTGAGTTGCTAGCCCCTCTTTCCAAAGGTGATACACCCTCTTTTTTTCCCTTAGTTCCTTCAAGAGCTCCTTGCCCATCCAGGCTGGTTGTCTTCTCCATCAGTTTGTCTTTCAGCACACAGGGACAGTTTGTTCCTGTGTCTTGAAGACTTCTTTCTTGAAGTATGTCCATGCATCCTTTGTTTTAAGATCTGTTTCCCAGGGTACTCTCCAAATCAGTCTCTTGAACAGGCCAAAGTCTGCCCTCCAGAAGTCCAGAGTGGAAGTTTTGTTGATGGCCCTCCTTGTTTCACCAAATATTGAGAACTCGATTATTTCATGGTCACTGTACCCCAGACAGTGGTGAACAGATCAAGTTCATTTAGGGAACTAAATTCCCTAATTTGCCATTAGGGGGTCTCCAGGTGATATCCAGTACCTGGACTCCAGGGAGGTAGCACACTTCCCTGTGGAATGGAGCTGGTCAATGTACAGGGCCCTCAGTTCCCCTTAAAAGGGAGTCACCTACTACCACCACCCTTCTTGTTAATACTTGAGGCTGTGATCTGTCTGACAGCCCAAGTGCAACTGGGAGACTCTCCAGACAGAATTTGCTCCTTAGTGTCATCTGCCTGACCCTCTGGAGCCAGGGCCTCATAGTTCTGTCAGGGCACCTGGGCAGGTGATGGGGGTCAGGACAGAATTTTATTACCTCTCCAGTAGAGACCCATTTCCATTCCCCACTGTCTCTTAGGTCTCCTCCTTCTGCCTGCTCACAAGATGAGCAGGGCTCCTCTGGTTCCAGCTGAGCTTCTCTCAGGGTTGGACGGGTGTAACTCCACCAGTTTATTTATGTTTTGCTCTCCCTAATGCTCCTCAGCCTTTCCACTTCTTCCTTAAGCTCTGCTACGGGACAGAGCAGATCATTCACCAGCTGACTCCACACACAGGTGTCTTTTGCACTAACCTCTGATCTTAGCACCAGGCTCAGACCCTCCCTGCAGCCAGGGGCCTGGGCAGCTGCGTCCTTTCTGGGGGTCCTGTTTGAGTTAGTGCACTCCTGCTGGCAACAGCAGCAGCAATGGCTTTTTGTAAAACATTGCTAGGGAAATAAAAAAAGCAGAAACAAGAAAGAAAGAAAAAAAAAGGCGTGCACCTCACAACCAGCAAATAGACACAACCCACTACACAAGGAGAGTGAGTCACTGCACCCTTTCTGCTCAGCCAAGCAAAAACTGAAAAACTGCTGGGGCAAAACTGCTGGGCCAAAACTGCAGTGGCAAGCCCCTGTTTGCTGTGGGCCAGGTCACTCGCACTCCCCAGAGCCATTTTAAATTGCCTGCAAAAGACCAGGAGATCGACCCTGGCCCACTTGAATGGCTGGTGAGAGGGTCCTTTAGTGCCCTGGGCTTCTTGGTTTTCCACTGTTCTCCATCTCCTTACACAGTGTCTGACTCCCATGCAAGCTCTGTGTGTTAAAAGAAAACTCCATGACCTTCTCTGGCTACTTCCCTGGGCTGTTTATTTCCAATTTTTCCCACTTGCCTGCCTCAGCCTGGACCCCAGGTGATCCACTTTCCCCTCAGAAGCAACTACGTTTCCCCAAAGTAAACTTCAACATGGTTTTGCTTTTGTGGGGTTTCTTCCAATTACATCTGGTTTTATGCCAGTTTGTGTCCCAGACTATCACCAGGACATGTTGTTCTTCCTCACTTCCAGTCACAGGAATAGTTTTAGCTCCAAGGCCACTGTCCTGCTGTCAGAGAAGCTTTTGAGATCTCAGAGCAAAGAGGACTTTTTATGAGAGGAGATAGTGCAGGATCCTTTCCCTTTCAGGACATTCTACTACCATGCACTGGGATGGGACCCAAAAAGCTCTGGATCATGAAACTCCAGGAGTTTGCTGTCTTCCTCCTGCACAACAAAGTCCCTTCCCCTCTCAGAGCCTCTGTTTTCATGCATATAAAACCTTGAATGTCACTCTGAAGGGTTGTGGTGCCTGAATTCATCAATTTCCTTTGGGGGTGCTCTGGGATGCTCTTGTGAAAGGCAGAGTAGGGAACGGGGCAGGTCCAAAATGGAAGAAACAAAGAGTGATGCTGGTAACACATAGCTGCAACCCATCTTCATCTCCCCTTCCCAGGGAAGTCCTGCTCCATGATCTTTTATCTGCTTTCCCCAAGTAGCTCAGTGGTAGGAAAAGCCAGCTGAGGTGGTCGGTGGATTCTCCCTCAGTTTTGGCAGAGGCTTTGAGCCAGGAGGTTCTCTTGAGGGCTTCTGGCTTTGGGAAGCTCTCCTGAGCTTGCAAGTGTGGAGTAAAACTACCTTGTGCCAGTGAACAAGTTATCCTCTGATCCCTGTGGGACCCTCGTGGCTTGGGCTCAGCCTTTGCTGGGGAGCTGCTGCTGCTCCTCCCCAGGTGTTTTCTCTCCTGCACTCCCACTTCTCTCTGCAAATCTGTGGCTCATGAAACCATCTGCTGGCCTTGTCTCTCCCTGGGGCTGCAGGCGGAGCAGTTTGCTGCACTCACTGAGCCAGGTGAGGCTGGAAAATTTCACGGAGGAGAAAAAAAGAGAGGAGGAGAAAGATGAAGATGGCGCTGCCCTCCTGACCAGCATGGCCCAGGAGAAGATGGCAGAGGTGCAAGAAGACTCCATTATGTTCTCCGATGACGTTTTTTTCATTGAGCCAATGGTAAGTGATAGGTGAGAACCCCATTTTCCTTCTCCTCCCTGCTCCTCCTCCTCCTTTCTGGTGAGGCTGCAGAGCTCCCTGCTCAAAGCATTTGTGCCCTGCAGGCTCCAGGCAGGGCTGGGGGCCTGACAAAGCCCGGCTCTGCTGCCAGGCTGGAGCTCAAGGCCCTGCCTGCGTGTCCTTGCAGTATCCCAGGGAGCAGTTCCTGTAGGCAGGGGCTCCCCCCACACGTGGGGCTCAGCAGAGGCTGTTGGAGCACTGCCAGCTCACACACTGACCTGGAGCTTGCAATGGTTCCCTGGCAAAAGGAGGCCAAATTCAGCCCAAGGTTAATGACAGAAATGCCAATCCTCTCCTGTAAGCACGCCTTACACTATTTCTGAATGTCCCTTCCAGTGCCATCTGTGAGCCTGGACACAAGGGTGGAAGGTTGAAATGGGCCTTTGGAGTTGTCCTGCACACAGGGACAGAAAACCTTTTCCTTTTCTGGTGATGCAAGCAAACTGCCATGTGCTCCCATCAACCAGAGCCCTGATTCTGAGTACTGGCATTGGGAGAGATGATGAATGCCTGGTGTCTGCACAGTGCAAAATCTCTTCTCATCTTGGAATAAACCCTAGAATAATGCCAACCTCTGCTTTCTTTCAAAACAGATTAAACTAATATTTTTATTTCCAAGGAAGGGGATCATCATCTCTTCTTGGTTACTGCTATGGCCCATCTGAGGCCAAGTGCACAGTGGCAGTTGCATCCCAATGTAGCTGACAGCAGCATGATGTGCCCAAGAGCTTGTGTCAGAGCAGCAGGAATATTGTGGAGAGTGGGAGCTGATCAGCTGAGCATTGAGAGCTTCCAGCACCATGTTAAGCTGGGTTTGGAGTGTTTGCTTGGGCTCCTTGTGTTGTCCATTCATCATTGATGCTCTAAATCAAGGCTTACAGGACTGTGGTTGAAATAAGAAACACGAAGTTTGAAGAGAAGTGTTTTGCTGTCTTTCTGTTGTAGGAGGGAGAAATCGGGCCCAATTGTTCGGCCGCAATCAGGGTGACCTTTAAACCCCTGGATGTACTGGGGTACCAAAGTATGGCTTACCTCAGCATCTCAGGTACAGCTCCTTCCCTCTGCTTCTCTCACCCACAGTGAAGCCATGGCGCAAGCCTGGGCTCCCATGGAACTGCTGGGAAGAATCCCTGGTCAGCAGGGCAGTGCCCTGCTGACCCTGCAGGTCAGCTGGATCTCCTATGCCTGCCATCCTGACCATCAATCCCCACTGGCCCTGCAGCTTCCAGAGAGTCCCCCGTGCTGGGCCAGGGCTCAGAACAGCCATGTCTGGGCCAATCCCAGAACAACCCAGGCAGTTACCAATCCCAGAACAACCCAGGCAGTGCAGGGAGAAGTTTTCATGCCATGGCTTTGCCAGCATTTCCTCAAAGGCCAAAGAGCTACAGAGCAGAGCAGCTTTAGTGAACAAGCACTCAGCCCCTCTAGACACCTCCAGGATGGCTCCATTTGACATGGACTCATCATCAGGCAGCAGGAGCTGAATTGTAAATGTGCTCCCTGAGCCTGGATCACCTCCCAGCGCCCAGAGATGGCTGAGCCCCACTGAGCCCAGGGTGGTTGTAGAAGGAGCACCCTTGGCCAGCACCTGCTTCTGTCCTTGTGTGGGAATTGTCACCTTGCAGCTCACAGTCTGTGGAAATAGAACACAACACTGAGTGTCAGAAATTGAGGACTTTGGCAACAAAGTTGTGTGCTACTGGGCCAGGTAGTTTGGCAATTGCTGCCTTGCAATTTGCTCTTGATGAACTTTGTGCCTTCCCTGAATGAATTTCAAAGCTCCTCTAAGTGCATGGGAAAGAAACCACAGAATTCTAGCATGTTCAGGATGGAATGGACCTTAAAGATTGTCTAGTCCCTTCCCACTAGATGAGGTATCTCCAAGCCCCATCCAGCCTGGCTTTGAACATTTTCAGGGCTGGAGCCTCACCCTTGGGGAATCTGCCCTAGTGTCTCACCACCCCCATAGTAAAAAATTTCTTCCCTAATATCTAACCTAAATTTCTTTCAATTTCTACCCATTGCTGCTTGGTCTGTCACTACAGGACATCAGAGATGTTTTAAACTCAGCAGACTGCTGTTAAAATTGCAAAGCAGCCCGAGGAATGGGTTAGAAATTAGAAGTCAGCCCCAAGGGATATCTCCTGGGGGAAGAGAAGGGTTCATATCTTCTCCTGCAGCATCAGGAGCTGGTTGCATCCAGCCTGGAAAATGCAGTGGAACAGAGGGAATGATTGTACTGCAATGGACATCTCTCCCCAGGCCGTGAGATGAGGCTGCCCCTGCGCCTCAGAGGGGAAGGCCAAGGACCCTTGGTTGAATTCAGCTCTCATACACTGAACATTGGGAATGTTTTCGTCAACTCTTCCCACATCCATGAGGTGAGCAGCAGGGCTTGGGATGGATCCTGATGGCTCCTGAGGCAGCAGCAAGCCTGGTGGAGCTGTGGAATTCCTGGCAACCTGGGCACTTGTGAGCAGGGAATATTTGACATACTGGTCAAACCTGCGGGGGGGTCAGAAAGGTGTGTCTGTTGTTCCTGAAACCCCAGTCCCTGCTTTTGGGCAACCTTCCTTAGGGATCAGCTGGGAGGCTTCCTGCAAAACAGCCCCTTGGCCCATGAAACCAACACTGGCTCCAAAAGCTGCATGTTCAGAGGCTTTTGTGGCAGTGCCAGACACAAGGCACCTTTGCACTGGGCTCTGCAGAAGCAGCTGCAACAAACTGGCTGCCTT